TTCTCTCTGTACCTTTCCTGGAACTCACTCTGTAGCCAGCCTCTGTGTTTTGTATTTTGACTGTTTATATACCTTGACTCAAGCACTCCCAACCACGAGGACCATTTACAATTAGTTTTCAAAAAAAAAAAAATCACTTTGTACAGAAATACACTTGAAACACACACACACACACACACACACACACACACACACACACACACACCCTACTTCCATTATGGGGCTCATCTAACAAGCGGTCAAGTGAAAGATCAAATTGAAGTCCTCTTTTCATTTTACAAATTAAAATGGAAGCTATTGATATATGATAATATTTAGTTTTTAATTTTCTCCGAATACTAGCTGCATTTGCATATTGGGTTTAGGCATCATAGATACCCCAAAAGCATTAAAAGTAAGAAACAGAAGGCTTAGAGAACACATAAACAAGGAGAGATAACGGGTATTTTTGTAGCAGTTGGAAGCTGGGGATAATTATACCATTGTCTCTCACTCTGTTCCCATGTGGACTTTCTTAAATGTCACTGGAAGCAGTAACTTCTCACTCTTTCTTTCCTGGGAAGCCTTATCCAACCTGTGCTCAGACATCATGATAGCGTGCTTTAGCCCAGAGTGCAGGCCCCTGGGGAATTCATATTCAGGCATCACGGGTCGTTGACCTGGCTATTGTTGTTTGTGATACTTACTGGTAAAGTTTCTCAATCAATACAACATCAGCCCACTGAGCTCCAGGGACCGGAGAGCCGCAGCAGCGTACTTAATCTTGGCGCCAGCCTGCGCTCTCTGCTCTGCTGCTAAACTGGGTAGTTGGCCTACTTGATGTGGCATGATTGCTGCTGGGGTCAGAAGTGAGCGGTTCGGCAAGCGCTGATGAATGGCTGTTGGCGGAGGAGCACCTCTCCCGCCCACCCGGAGACAGCCATGATAGACTACAACCGCGCTTGCGCAAAAATCCGTGTCTCTTGTTTGTGAGGCTTCTGGGCTGGAGGTGTGAAGGGATTGGCACTCTGGTGGGAGGAAGCTTTCAAAGAGGTAGCACCATTACAATCAAGTTAACTTCTCTTTATCAGAGAAGGTGGCTCCCTACACCTGTTCCGTGACCTTACTGTGACCATTTTCTTCCCATCCTTGAGCAAGACTTCCAGGCAGTAGGGAAAAGATAAATGGGAAATTATTTTAGTTGTATTAAGATGGGCCATCAATGTCTTCATCATTGAAGGAGTAATTATTCAGAACGTTAGCCATGGACTTAGCAGGGTAACACCCCCTAATGTGGAGGAGAAATTAATATGTAAATAATTGTTGAACCTCATAATGGGATAGCTTCCACTATTGTTAACAATATAACACCACAAAAGCCTGGATGATTCTTTTAAAAATAGATGTCTTGCAAGAAGCATCAGTGCATTATTTATCTAGCTATTTCCTGTTCAGTACAATTCTTTTTTTAGTAATCAGACAAAGAAAAATAAAAATGCTTGGCATGACCTAAATATTCTGCCTGTTATAAATGAAGGCAGGGCTCTCTGTACGTAAATAGACCACAGAGTGTTGTCAAGGAAGTGATCAAAGGTGTAAATGGTAGGTTCAGACAGATTCTACACACCATCAGGAGACTTCGCTAAATATTTAATCACATAAGAAATAACAAGGAGAGAGAGGGGTGAGTGGACTTCCAGGGGTGTGGTTAGCTATGTGGCACACAAAAGCTGTGGACGGCTGTCTTCTTCAAGCAGAACCACAGACCTTAACCTCTTGTCCCAGAGCCTATCAGGAAGTTGGCAATGGTTAAGGACATATTTTCTGGAACTGGGACAATTGATACTCTGCAGAGCCAAATACTGCCCTGTCTTCCCAGGGCTAGCGATTAGGTTATACTAGTGATGTTAGACTATTGCTGTCTAGACTGAATGCTACAAGAGAATGGTGTTTTTTCAAATATTTAAGTTAAAAATCAACCCATCATGATGTGTGTGTGTGTGTGTGTGTCTGTGTGTGAATGTATGCACATATATATTTAGAGGTACGTGTGTTTGTGTGGATAGATGTGCACATGTGTGTGCATATGTGGAGGCCAGAAGTCAACCTTAGGTTTAATTTCTCAGGAAATTACTTTGTTTCCTGAGACAGGTTCTTCCTCTCGTTAGAAGCTGGATCTCTCAGATTAGACTAGCCAATGAGCCACAGGAACTTGCCTAGCTCTGTCTCTCCAGTGCTGAGATTACAAGTGCGCACAACTGTTTCCGGCTTTTAACAAGGGCACTAGGGACGGATCTCAGGTCTCCACGCTTGCAAGACACGTATTTCACCAGTTGAATTATCTCCTCAGCCCCTTTTAACCATACATGTTTGCATGTCAACCAACCCTCACATACTTGCAAGGAAAACAGTGTTTCCGTTTTCAACGGCTGAAGCAATCTCTATGCATTCCAAATCATTGTGTAGCTGGGGCAGGGTGGGAAGAGGGGACAACTCATTTAGTCTACACTGTTACATCTAGTCTGAATAAATAATTTCCACAGATGATTTAGGTATGGCAGATTTTGATTTTCTACTCTTGTCCTGTGCCTCTGTGTGGGTTTATCCAGCCTTCTAACAGTAGGGAGGAAGGGTTCCTGGGACGGATAGCAGATTCCTGTCATTGTCCTAGCCCCTAGTTCCTGAGAAATGGATAGCCTGTATTCTATAGTCTCCCGGTATCTGTGGCAGCAGGTACTGACTTTGGCTGCTGATCAATCTGTGGTCTGTTCTCTAGATTCTGTCTAAGTCTGAACTGTCTCCACCCCTGGAGTCTGACTAGGATTCCTACATATTCCAGCCAAGGAACCTGCCATCTATTATTAGATTACATGTGCAGGGCTCCTCTGTTTCCCGTGTGGGGATCTTGTAGGTGGGATTAGTAAAAATGGTTCAGGCCAACCTAGGCTGGTGGACTTTCCCACACTGCACCACACTGGCTCGCCTGATTCCTTTACTTGACCTTGCAGCTGTTCCGAGGTGCTTGTAGAAGCATCCTATGAAGAGATCTCTTTCCAGGTCTCCACGAGAAGCTGACACACACCCTTCCCTACCCCTACTTAGCATGGCACTTTCCTCCAGGGGTTCAGCATGATCAAGAGGACAGGAGGTATATTCCATACTCTTTTGCTTCTATACTCGCTTAAGGAGCCCCCAAGGCCTGAAAGAGGAGAGCTCTTTCCTGCCTTTTACGGACATGGCACTTCTCCTCTGTTAGAGTTTCTCCTCCTGTCTGTGGTATTATCTCTCTTCCCTTCTCTCTGCATCTATAGGAAGGAAGGCATTCACATATTTTTCACATGCTGAGAAAAAATATCTTTTTTTTTTTTTTTTTTTTTTTGTTTTTTTGAGACAGGGTTTCTCTGTGTAGCTTTGCGCCTTTCCTGGAGCTCACTTGGTAGCCCAGGCTGGCCTCGAACTCACAGAGATCCACCTGGCTCTGCCTCCCGAGTGCTGGGATTAAAGGCGTGCGCCACCAACGCCCGGCATAGAAAAAATATCTTAAGTGAAGAAGAACTACAGTTTTTAAAATATCATTCCTACTCTTTACCACAAATGCTCATTAACTTTGTTCCTGTTCCTTGGGGATGCCTAGCTAAGTCAATGTTGGAACCTGAGCCCCGGGATCCTTTGATAATTGGCATCATGGTCTGGTCACTTGACTGGTACCCCCTCCTGATACCAAAGGTAGGTACACATGCTAGAAACTGATTGTGACCTTACTTGGAAAGAGGATGGTGGTAGTTTATATAACAAATGTCCCTCATAGGCTTATGGAGCTGGTAGTACTGTTGTGGGAACTTATGGAACCTTTATCAAGTAGAACCTTGCTGGAAAAGTGTCACTGGGGGTGGGCTTTGAGGGTTTGTCACCTTGCCACACTTCCTTGCACACACACACACACACACACACACACACACACACACACACACACACGTACCCTGTGTGGGAATAGAAATGTGAGTAGTTGTGATTAGCAAGCTTCTGGCTCCTTCCACCTGCTGCCACATCATCCCTGCCATGATGGACTCTAGCTCTCTGGAACTGTAAGCCCAAAGAAATGCTTCCTTCAATAAGTTGCTTTCATTCATAGTGTTTACCATAGCAACGGAGAAGTAACTACTACAAGGATCTTTGCTGTATGACCCAAGATGGGGTCATTGTGGTGGACCAAGAAAGAACTATATGAAGAAGATAAAGATCTCAGTAAGTGAACATCAGCCAAGAAATGACAACCGCCATCAGAAGCAGAACAGACAGAGAGAAGCTCTCCACACAGCTTCTGGAGAGAGTGCAGCACTGTGCAAGAATATACTTATTTTGGTACAAGCCACCCAGTTTTTGGTTGGTCATCTGGGACCAAGCCTAGGGAAATAACACATGAAGTGATGCTAAACTTGTTTTCCAAACCATAATTATTTGCTTATGAACTTTCTAAATCTCTTTCCTGACTGGTTTGTGAGTATTATTCTTCAGTTAACTCCATGTGCTTCCTCAGAAAAGTCTCAGTTTTGCAAACATTTATTGGACACATAGTAGGTGTACCAGGAGGCAAAGATAAATAAGGTACAATCCTTTCCCTTCAAGAGGTTATGCACCATGCCTGTTTGTGGAAGCAGATAGAAATGTGTTCTTACTCTGAACTTCGGAGTCCAGAAAAGACTCTGATGATGCCTCTATTGCAATATAGAATAATTTCCATACAAATTTGAACTAAGATGTTCCAGTGGTTTTTATGTCAACCCCGTTTTCAATCTTTCTTGTCAGGATGGTCAAATTATTCCCTGTTTTCTGACACTGACTCCCCAGAATAACAATAATAAGGACAAATATCCCTGGATAATAAGACAACCTGGGAATTAAAGCTGGTGCCAGCAATCATTTTGCAGCGATTAGGCCACGTTGGCTGGCCGGGCTAGATAACAAATACTAGTGAATGAGCACAAGCACAGATTAAAGCGATGGCCTGACGTCCATAGGAGCATTCAGAGACTCCGACCTTTAACTTCAAACACAGCTTTGGCCCCTCAGCTACCGCTTTCATCTATGTGGGACATTGTATGGATGAACTGATGGTGAGCTACATCCTGTTGAATCTTTGGGATGCCTTTTGCATCATATGGGAGATTATGGGATGGGTGTTGGATACTCCACATTAACAAGAAGGAGAGAAGTTGACATTTAGAAAGGCACCCATGGTTCTGGATTGCTTTTAAAACTGTCCAGAGCTGAACACCTGGAGCTTCAACTTTGAACCGAGGCTACCCACCCCAACTTCCAGAAAGAAAAGGTTGCAATGAGCTGGGGCTTCGAATGCAGCTGGTTGAACATCTGGGGTCTGAAACTGACCACTACATGGCTAGGGGAGAGTGGCCTCTGTGCCTGTTTCCTCTCCTGAAGAATCGAGGCTCTTCAGACCCCGAAAGCTCATCAGTGAATTAAGTTGGCACTTATAACATGGCTTGTAGAGTACCTGGTACCTAGCGGTCAGTGAAGGAATGGAAACAATGGTGATCACTCCACTTCCTACTCCTGTCTCTGACCTGCAGCAACAGGGCATGAAGAATGTGAGCAGCTCTCTTGCACTAGGACGGAGAGAACAGTCCAGTGGAAGGCCAGACTCTGCGAAGAAATCAGGGAAGAAACCAGAGATGGGGTCAGAGAGGGCCATCACTCTTGGAAAGTCGGAGTGCATAGACAGTGACCTGGAGGTCAGAATAACCAAGATCAATCCGGATGGGTGACCTGGAGAAAATAATGTATCCTCCCCAGGAAAATATCCTCCCCAGAAAAGAAAAATATTAGATGTAATGTTATCTTACACCTTAGCCTAGCTCATGACCGAGTGTTCCTTGGCATACACTAAACTGTGAAAATTAAGGACCCTGTAGATCATCCGTTACAGCACT